GGCCCTATCGCAGGGCAGGGGGGAGCCAAGGCGGAGAGGGGCCACACCGACTACCACAGCAGACAGACACGCGACAGGGAGACTGCCTTCCCTCCAGCCCCGCCTGCTGACTCTGCTCTTGTTCTAAATACCGCTTGTCCAGTAAGCATCTCGGTTGGGTTTAGAGGCTCCGTCTGTGTGAAGCTCCCCATCTCATGGTCTGGGACCTGAGCCACACCTGGTTGTGCCCGGCCTGAAGCGATCCGTGCTGCTTCCCTCTGTACCGCCTGCGACCCACCACGTCGAGGCCGCGCCCACGCCACCTGCGACCCGCCGCGTCCTGGGGCCGCGCCCACGCCACCTGCGACCCGCCGCTTCCTGAGGCTGCGCTGACACCACCCTGATGTGAAGCGGGCAAGACTCAGACCCTCAAGGGAGCGCTGCAGTTGGGGGGTGGGGTTCCTCACAACTGTAAATTCCTAGTTCAGTGTTTCAACAATTGGAAAGACACAACCATAGCTCCTGAGGATCTGAACCGTCAAAATAAACCTCCTCTAACTCACAGAAAAAAAGACCAGATTTCCTGGCCTGACAGACTGGAGAAACCCCGAGAGTATGGACCCAGACACCCTTTCAGCTCAGCGAAGTCCCTCCCGAAGTTCACTATTCAGCCGGGGATTGGACAGCCTCATAAAACAAAACAGGACTAATAAGACACAGCAGTCCAGGGACAAGGACTAGAAGGCAAGAGAGAACAGGAAAGCTAGTGATAGGGAACCCAGGGTTGAGAACGGACAGTGTTGACACGTCATGGGGTTGTTAGCCATTGTCATAGAGCAATATGTGTACTGTTTGAGAAACTGTTTTGTTCTGTAAACCTTCATCTAAAGTACAAAAAAAAAGTATCATCTATATGAGATCAAATTGACAACAGCAACTCAAAAGGTTTGAGGGGAAGTCTAAGGGGCAGTGAGTTGAAGATAATGGTGATGGAATAATTTGAAAAAGGACAGTGAAAATAGCAGCACAACTGGAAGAATATAATCAATGTCACTAAATTGTCCATGTAGAAACTTTTGACATGGTCTAACTTTGGCTATGTATAT